GTCCGCTTCTGTGTCCAAGATTCTTACTTTATCCAATGAGACTGAATGTCCAGGCGATTCAAATGTATATGTTGTGACGTAGTTGTAGACTTAGTCACAACTTCCTAAGTCTGGTAGCACATTTACAGTGCCTTTACTCTTGGTTACAAGATGCCTCATATTGTAGGCATTTCGAAGGTCATGGACAAGCTCAGCTGCTAGTACACAATATTGTGGCAGTATGTCGCTATTGATGCATGTCTATTGTCTTGTCTAATTTCAACTGCATGCAGAAGTACGGCGCAGTTCTTGTTATGGAAACAATAGAGAAAAAGGATCAAAGAGCATTTTTATTAAGACTCTCACTCTCCTGATATGTATCTAAATGAGTGAAGCAAGTGCATGCATTACTAGTAAACAAACGTCCGTGCCAAATGTCGTGGGAACCAAGAGGTGCTGGGTTCGAGTCCTGACATGCCACCGACCTTGTGTACTTGGGAAAAGCACTTTACACGATTTTCTTCACTTCGCTCAGGTGAAAATGAGTATTGCATTGTCCCCTATGTTGGTAGTGGCACTAAATAAGTTGAAAAAAAAACTTGAGTGTGCCGTCACCACGTCTTGTGATTATATGTTGGAATACAAAAAAAACGTCCGTGCAAGATGTACATCCACTGCCACCCATCGCAGCCGGTACAATCGTGCAGCGTCCTTGTCATGGGTTTACCATATGACATTAAAATGTGTCTCGTGATGTTAAATACTATACAAAGTAAATTTGAAATCGCTATGGACAGGCACATACTGTGAATCGCATTACAAAACATCCACCCAGTACAGAAAAAAGATCTTATAGCCAAGAATAATCTATTAAAATCACAAAATTCTAATGAACAGGCACACTCTGCTCATAATAACCTCTACTAAGTAGACCACACTGCAGTATGATTAAAATGAACCAGGCAACAGGCCAACTCGCGCATTCCCGCCAAAAGCCCGGGCAAGCTCCCAATAGAATGGTTATCCAGATGTAGTACTACCTACAACAACTGACATTCGCGTTGTTATGACTTTGCGATGGAGAGGTCAACGTGAATACCGTGAAAAAAACCCACCACGAACATGATAAGATTTACAGTAGATAATGCCATTCATTCAATTGCCACTCTCATCTTAACGTCCTACTGTATGACTGATGTATGGGCGCTTCAATGATAACCGAACGGTCAATGACCCTAACGTGTTGTTTATTTAGTTTCAGTCAGTAAGGGGTGGGCGCAGCGCGTTTGCCTTGTTCATAATGCTGAAGTACCTTTGTTACTGTTGTTTTACTAAATTTCATTGCAGTCTAACCAACAACTGTTCACCGGTGCAATAGCTCAACTGGTAGAGTGCTCGCTTTGTAACCGGGAGGTGGTGAGTTCAAACCCCGGCCGGGTCATACCAAAGACTTTAAAATGGTACACACTTCTTTCTCTGCTTAGCACTCAGCACATATGAGACAGAGTGTGGGTGGGAAGGTCAAACACACAGCACTACCAGCGGACTAGCCCCCTGCTGTAGTGCCTTGCACAACTGTGTGTCGCACAAGGGCTACGAAATGGGGATGGGCACCACCCTACGCTCGGGTAAGAGCACGGGAGACCTTCTTCTTCTTCTTCTAACCAACAACACTTACGTTTATCAGGCTGAGCATGTTCCCAACAATCGGCAGTCGTCTGGGTCCAGGCGGCAGGTTTTTGGGGCGCCCCAACATCACCATAGCCAGGGCGCATAATGCGATCAGAAGTACGACTTGTACTGTCCCAAACGTTGGAAACGGCTGACCAAGGAAATACATGGTTCAATCTGTGGTTTGTTTCTCAGCAAGACTATAAGTGCGACGATTGCTACCAAAACGTCTTTGTGCTTCAAACTGTGTTGCTATGACAGGACTGGTCCATTGCAGTCTGGGGGAATATTTAAAAGTTCTTATTTCATATTTTGTATGCAAAATTTTTTATAACGATTTGGTGGGGATTTTAAACTTTACTAGTCATCAGGCACACGGCAATGAACCACCTGTAAACAAATGCGAAAGGTATTGCATCATTTATAAACAAGCCGGAGTCGATGCGCCCCCCTCCTTGGATGGCAAATGATTCCTCCTGACTACTTAGTGACTGAACATAACAACACGTTGACCCTGACGTTGACCATTGGGTCATCGACCGTTCGGTTGTCATTCACGATTGGAACTTTTCCAGTAAAGTCTGGTCTATTGAAATACTCTCAGAAACCAAACATTTCAAGATTTTTGAAGCGTGTGACCGTTTCCAAATTTTATCCAGTTTCTTGATGTTTGGCCAAGTTCTGAGGGATAGTCAACGCGTGTCCAGAAACTTGCCAGGGCAAATCTACGCTAGTATCCGTGCATTCTATTAACCCTAACCCATTCAGACATGGAACTAGATTAGCACGGTTCTCAGGATACAATTATCATAGTAAAGCCGGTTCCGAATTACAATAGTTCATATGCATTCCTTAGACCTTTGAGTAACCCTTTGAGCAACCAATGTCCTTGGAGTAACCCATTCCCGTGCGGCAAAAAAAAAATTCTAACCGAGCACCCTTGTTGTCAGGTCAATTTACTTTAACTTCAATACCCGGTGTCAAGCCATATACATGATCCTACCAAATACATGACTCCGACACTACTTGTGGGTTTCTCATATACCTTATACAAAGGTGGGAGGGGGTTGGTCGTGATGTGGGAGACTTAGGCCATGTTCATATGAAGTCAGTGAAGGCGCTTTACATGTGGTTTACCCCGAAGCCGGTTTCAAGTGGCCCTATCTGAACGCTTCAAATCACATTCAAAGCGCCTCGATCCCAAACCACTTCTAGAGGTGGTTTCGAATCGGTTTTCCCGCATCGCGATTTGCATCTGAACACAATGTGATTACAGTGTGACTTCACCTGGTCATAGATTACGGGGTGATATTTCTTTATTCAAATGCAATACCAAATTTTACGGGGTTGGTGGGAAAAGGGGTCCAGTCCAATTGGCGGAAAAAGCAGTCCAGTCCGATTTGGAGGTGGAAAAAGGAGTCCAAAAAAAGCTGGGTGGTTTCTACGAAAGACCATAGGTACAATTATCATTTTTTTATTGTGTGTGTACTTCGAGTTTCTATGAGTACTTAGAGTTTCTGTGAGCACTTAGAGTTTGTATGGGAACTTAGAGTTTCTATGGGAACGTACAGTTTGTATGGGAACTTAGAATTTGTATGAGTATTTAGAGTTTGTATGGGAACTTCGAGTTTCTATGGGTACTTAGAATTTCTGTAAGCACTTAGAGTTTGTATGGGAACTTAGTGTTCGTATGGGAACTTAGTGTTTGTATGAGTATTTCGAGTTTCTATGAGTACTATGTTTCTATGACTGTGAAGTTTCTATACATACAGGTCACCTATCCACAATAAGTAAAAGTTAATTATTAAGGGATTCTTTCTTACAATTGTACTTCCGGTACTTACATATAACAATATTTAGTCAAAAGATGAAGCGGTCAACTGACGAGATTTCCAGGGCCGATCCTGCTTGCATGTAAGTAGCCTGATTAAATCGCTTTACGGTTGCCGACCACCCAACATCCAGCCGACCCCGCTAAAGCCGCGTATGGCAGACTTTGCATTACACAGAAGAGCATGACTATCCAAACCCTAAGAAACTATAAGTACCCATAGAAACTCGAAGTACACACACAAGAAAAAAAAATTGTACCTATGGTCTTCTGTAGAAACCACCCAACTTTTTTGGACTGCTTTTTCCACCCCCAAATCGGACTGAACTGCTTTTTCCGCCAATCAAACTGGACTTCTTTTTCCACCAACCCAATTTTACGTTACTCAAAGAGTAGTACTGGTCAAATAATGTGTCCGTTCTAGGACGAGCTTCACCGCCTCTGGCGGGACCACGTCGGCATTCGGCCGAGATACGCTGGGAGGGGGGCACCAGCAAGCAGGTCGTTGACCTCTGACCACTGAATCTTAAAAACATTTAATGCAATTTCATGCAATTTCATTGCATTTAATGTACTTTATCATGGAGCCCATGGTTTCATCAACCTCACACACCTATCAAGGCAGTGGCGTATCTAGATGCCTGCGACATCTGGCAGTCCACACCATAAATGCTACAACACGGTAGGTTACTACTAAGGTACACGTTCACGAATAATGTTACGCTGTCCACAGAACAAATGAGGCTACCCCTCCCGCCCCCCCCCCTCAATCAGCAAATACATATGTACTAGGTATGCGACATGTATAAGCATTAGGTATGCAACAAAAGAACCCCGATACAAATAGAAATGACATGTCAGAAAGAAAAGAAAAAGTGTATTCTGCGCCCTGATATCAAAACCAAATGATATGAATAGTACCTTTGAAAATACCACTACCACTTGCTGGCTATGTACATTTCTTAATTATGGGTTTGCTTAGAAAAAGTTTTGTATTCGACATCTTACACCACATCTTATAAGTCAGATTCATTTGGGGGAAGTAGCTGATTTGCCTCAAACCCATCTTTATCATCTATACCTCCAATCCACGTCTTGCTGTCGCGTTTTCTAAAATGCATGCTAATTTTGTCTTCTCCTTCCCCCTGGTCCTCCCCCTCCTCCTCTCCCTCTGATACCGTCGGGCTGTCCTTTCCCGGAGCGGCCCTGGGCAGGTTGATGGAAGCCGGTAGACTCGCGCAGAGGACGGCCACGAGGAGAGACAGGACGGCCACCAGATAGATGGGCAGGTGGTGGTCCAGCGGCCAGGGCAAACCTGACAACAAGTAATGGAAAGAAAAATAGACACCCAATCCATTTCCGAAAACAATTTCATGAGGTTAGAAGTACATAGGATATTGTCATTTTCTTCTACACAACCAGTAATGTCTCTAGATCTCGCCTGCTTACGTTTTGATGTCTTTCAGACATATTCTGATTTGCATATCACTGGCGGACACGTATCCAGATAGCTCCGGCATTTAGACCTCCAAAGTTGTGTTTCTGAGACCTTTTTGATGCCACAACTTGTGGTTTATATTGTCTGATCAGTTGGAGAGCCTCGGAGCGAGATCTGGCTCTACCTTCCCGGTTCTATCCTGGAATTTTGGGGGATTCTTAGAGCGACGTCGGCAGCACAGCTCCCCTCCCCACACCTGGACAATGCCGACCTGTGAAGATTGCCATGCCCCGGGAGCACAGCTCGGCCAGGGTGACCGGAACCTGTGCAAACGCTGCTCCGACAAGCGATCTCCACCGGTAGATTCGCCGCAGGGTCAGGGTGAGCCTAACAAAATCTTTATTAACGACCTGTTATGCTTCGTCGTCAATAAGATGGACAAGATGCCCGGCGATATTGTCACGAAGCTGTGCTTGGAGACCTACTCCGAGGAGGAGATCGAAGACGCCAAGAAACTGACATTTGACACTTGCAAGCCCAGCGAGCGGTTTAGGAAACGCCAAGGCACCAACAAGTCCGTCACAAATATGTCGGACATCCTGCGGGTTCTGCATTCCGCCGACCCGCTGACGCTTCCTACCTTTGCGTCCGCATCACTCCGGCTTCCTGTCGTAGAGCTGGAACACACGGACTTCAGCTTGTGCTTCCAGGAGATTCAGGTGATACGACAGGAAATGAAAGTCATTCGGGCCACTACCGTTGACAATGTGAAAGTGCAGGCTGAAATTGCAGCCCTTCGTAGAGAAATCGCCGAGTTGAAAGACGTGAGGGCGTCAGCACCGCAAACTGCGCCGGCGCCTCGCCATACTACCTTTGCCGACGTGGTGTCTGAGAACCACCCCCAGTCGATCGTGCATCCCCCGGCAGCGAGGCGAGCCTCAGGTCCCACTCAAGTACACGTCCTACGTCAGGGTGCCGCTACCAAACCCAAGTCCCTTGCCCCGATGGACCCTGCCCAGGCTTCCCGTTCATCGCCCCTCTCCCCCCGAGGCCACAGCTCGGGTGTTCCCACAGCCCCCGACGAGGATGGGTTCAACATGGTCAAAAGGAAAAAGAACAAATCCAGAGCAGTGGTTGGCACTGCTAAGTCTTCCACACTGTCTGCGATCAAGGCCAGACCAGTCGAGATTTTTGTCACACGTCTGGGCCCTGACACCAAGTCGGAAGACGTCGAACGGTACCTGCACGACAACTTGTCGCATGACCGGACGCTCTCCTGTACGAACCTTCCAACTAAGTTTGACTCCTACTCTTCTTTTCGGGTGTCAATTGAGAGCGAAGCCGTAGCTGAAATCCTGTCCCCGTCCTTCTGGCCGTGCGGCGTGCTCGTCAGGCGGTACCACGGTAGACGTGCCTCCTCCAACCCGCAACCAAGACCATGAAGACTGGCTTAGACACTTTAAATGTGACATCCTTTAACTGTCGTTCCGTTAAGAACTCTGTCCAAGCTGTCAAGGACTTGTGCCAGATTTCTGACGTTATCCTTTTACAGGAGCACTGGCTTCTGCCGAACGATTTAAACTTTCTCTCTAGTCTTGATAAGGACTTCTTAACGTATGGCACCTCGGCTGTAGACTTGGGTAAAGGCATATTACATGGTCGCCCCTATGGTGGCGTCGCGGTCCTTTGGCGGAAGTCTCTTGGGGTAACCGTGAGTATCGTGAGTGACGATGATGATCGAATCTTAGCCTTACGAATCAATAATGATGCGAGTCTTTGAACTTCTTCTTGTTTTGTGTGTATTTACCAGTAGAATCTACTTGTAACATGGATATTTTCATTGACAAATTAGGTAAAATCGAGTCTATAATACAGCAGACCAATGTGACTAATGTCTGTATCATGGGAGACTTTAATACGCGCCCAGACGGTATATTCTCCCCACTGTTGTACAATTTTTGTCATGATAATAACTTCCATGTAAGCGACATCGACCTTCTCCCAGAGGATACTTTTACGTACCTTAGCGAAGCTCACGGGTCGACGTCGTGGATTGATCATTGCGTTTGCTCCGATACCATGTCTGCGAGTATCTCAGAAATGTGTGTTCTGTATGATTTTGTCTCATCCGATCATTTTCCTCTCTGGGTTTCATTTGACCGGACATCGGTCCCTGTGTTTACAAACACAGCTGGTGACGGAATTCCACCGCCAAAGAGATTTAACTGGGAACGTGCATCCCCCTCTGACCTGGCACGGTATCAAATTTGTGCCGATGCCCTCTTATCTGAAATCCAATTGCCAAACAATGCTTTTTTGTGTCAAAATCCTAATTGTAAGAACAATGACCACAGAACTTCTCTTGATAACTTTACCTCTGCTATAGTCGGAGCTCTCAAAAGTGCAGCTACGACATCCCTCCCCACAGGAAAATGTGGCACCTCCCACGCGATACCCGGTTGGAATTCCGTCGTCAAAGAGTACCATTCTGCTGCTCGAGATGCATTTTCTATGTGGCGAGAATTCAATCGACCGAGGCATGGGGCCATTTGGAACCTTATGAGATCAACTCGGGCAAAATTTAAACTCGCTTTAAGAGAGTGTCGACGCGCGGAGGCCCTACACAGGGCAGATGCGCTCGCCTCTGGTTTGCATAAAGGGGGTCAAGTAGGCTTCTGGTCTACGCTACGGTCTCAAAATGGCACCAAGCCTAACCTCCCCTGTAACATTGACGGCCACACTGGTACGGCTGATATCACTAGCATGTGGAGGCGTCACTACGACTCTCTGTTGAACTCTGTTGCTCCCAACGATTGTAAACAATCCGTAGATGACATAATTCACTCAGATATCAGCTATGACCCGGGAATGTCGGTACCCGCACCTGAGGTATTCGCAGCAATCAACAGGCTCCAGAACGGGAAGGCCTGTGATTCTGACGGTCTTTCAGCTGAGCATCTGAAACATGCGGGACCTCGGCTTACGATTCTGCTCTCGCTTTTGTTTTCTGCTATGTTAGTGCACGGCCATGTCCCCCCGATCTTGTTAAGAGTAATTCTCATTCCGATAATCAAGAAACAAAACCTGAATCCTTCACTTAAGAATAATTATCGCCCCATTGCAATCTCCAGCCCCATTTTCAAATTATTTGAATCCCTTCTCCTCAGTCGCCTGGAGAAGCACTTATTATCTCCGGCGAATCAATTTGGTTTTAAAAACACCATGGGACAGACATGTGTATTTTCGCACTCAAAGAGATAATCTCTTACTTCAAAAGCCGAGGTTCTTCTGTATTTGTTTGCTTTCTTGACGCCTCTAAGGCATTTGACCGAGTTAATCATTTTACTCTGTATAAGAAATTACTTGATAGAAATGTACCCGTCTACTTAGTACGTATTATAGTTTACTGGTTTCAAATGTTATCCCTCAGGGTGCGTTGGGGATCTTCCGTTTCGGATAGCTTTTGCTTCGGCAACGGTGTTCCCCGGGGGAGTCTACTTTCCCCTCTTCTATTTAATGCATACGTTACGAGCCTTACTGTTAAGTTAAACGCTGCCAATGTGGGTTGCTTTATTGGCAGAGTCCCTGTAAATCACCTTTTGTATGCCGACGACTTTTGTCTGATATGTCCCTCGGCGAAAGCGCTACAGAAACTTATTCATGTATGTGAGACTTTTGGTGCCGAAAATGATATGACCTTCTGTGACAGGAAGACGAACTGTATGTTTTCCCCTGTCACCGAAGCCGCTTGCCTACATGTAGTACGCCACCATCTGTGAAACTGTACGGCACACCACTGCCCTATGTGCTTTCGGTCACTTACCTTGGCTACCAAATTACACCGGACCTTTCCGACGACGATTCCATCCGTAATCAAACCCGCCAGCTGTACACAAAAGCGAACTCTTTAATCCGAACTTTCGGCAACTGTTCCGCTGAAGTTAAGCGTATACTCTTTGTAGCACATTGTTCCCCCATGTACTGCGTACAACTATGGAACAATCATAGCGCAGGTGTGTTGCAGAGGCTGCGGGTTGCTTACCATGATGCTTTCAAAATCATTATGTCTCAGCCTCGCTCCACCAGTAACAGCTTGTTCTTTGCCCAGTTGGGTGTCGACACATTCGACGCCAGGAGGCGAAAGCTGACGCACTCTTTTGCGGCTCGCCTCCTGGCGTCCGGTAACGGCATCATCAGTTTGCTCTTACGCTCTGATGCCTTCCCCAGAAGTCAGTTCTGGCGTAGGTACTGCAAGCTGGTATGCAGGCCTTAAATAGGCCCCGTTTCTTTTATCCCAGACACCGTATTTTTAAATTTATGTATTTTGTGTTGTCTATGTAATTGTTGTATATGGGCTTTGCCTGAGTCAAACAATAAATGAAATAAATGATATTCCTCAGAGCGTCTAACTGAACATGAAAACATGAAAAGAAAGTCAACCCCAGTGATGAACGAGGGGGGATACAAACTTAGCCACGTTTGGGATTGTGTTCTCGCTGCAAAAGCGCCACCTACATCGGATACATATTAGTATAGCGGCGAGAAGCAGTACCCTAGTCAGAAGCTCTAAGTCTGGTCACACAGAAACGTATGAGAGGCGTCACTGGTTGTATAGAAGAAAATCCGAATATCCTAGTCGGCACTCAGTCAGCTTACTAGAGTAAAACTAGAGTTCCACGATCTCATACCTTCGCCAAATGATGTTAGCCTTTATGACTAAGAAATTATAGATTAATCCCCTTCATTGTGAAAATAGGATCCTATATTGCATCAATTATATCTGTTGACCATATTCTACACCAGAAGACAGTCTTTTCTTATCAAAGAATGCAATTATAGCATTTCCTCATAGATTATGCAAATGAGGTCCTTATTTGAATAAGTTATGTTTAATTATGTTCACCTTCACATAACTTTCAAATATCCCAAATATGAAATTCCAGGCAGTTACCATTATGGAATTATAACATTTTCTCATTAATTATGCAAATTAAGTCTTAATTTCCATAATCGATATCTGTCTGTATTTCTGCCGTTCTTAATTACATGTCACAAGCTTGAATAGTCCTACCATTGAATGCAGCTGATTTATAGAATTTCCTCATTAATTATGCAAATTACATTAATATTTGCATAATTGTAATATTATCATGTCAAGCATCACTTCAGCTACCTACATGCCAAAAATCACAACGATCCATCAATCGGTTCTTGAGTTATCCGCCTGTAAACATTTTCAACTAACGCCCCTGCAGTTTCAGAGCAAGCCCCTAGGGGGCCCAAACTCACGTCACTTCTTCCTCAGCACAAGAGCTACCTACCCTTTACATTTCGTCAACGAATTGAGTTGTTTCGGCGCAGAGCTATTGACTGCAAGCTTGAAACCGACGGAACCCGACCTGTCAGACCAGCAATACCAGCTCTGCGGGTCCCTGGTACATTACAAAGCCTAGTAGTCACATTGAACTGGCTTAAAACTGAACCGTGACGCCAACAAACGAATTGACTTGTTTTGGCGCAGAGCTCTCCGTGTGTCACAGACTGACGGAGAGTTGAGCGAGCAGTCCTGTGCAGAGTTGCGTGACGAAGTCTTTATTTGTGACAGAGTACTGGCTGTTCAGCCTAATAGTCATATTCAATTAACTTGATATCTTCAGAGCTCTATACAAAACTGAACCTGTGTCGACAGCCATGACGTTTTGAGCGCAGACCGCAAAGAGGTGAAAGCAAAACTGAACCGTGACGCCAACCAACGAATTGACTTCATTTGGCGCAGAGCTCCTCGTGTGTCACAGACTGACGGAGAGTTGAGCGAGCAGTCCTGTGCAGAGTTGCGTGACAAAGTCTTTATTTGTGACAGAGTACTGGCTGTTCAGCCTAATAGTCATATTCAATAAACATGATATCTTCAGAGCTCTATACAAAACTGAACCCCTGACGCCAACCATCAGCATCGACTTGTTTTGTACTTATAGCTTTATTCACAAGGGTCTAACCAAAAATAAGCGGTGACGCCAACCAACGAATGGAGATGTTTTGGCGCAGAGCTATTGACTGCAAGATTGAAACCGACGGAACCCGACCTGTCAGACCAGCAATACCAGCTCTGTGGGCCCCTGGTACGTTACAAAGCCTAGTAGTAGTCAAATTGAACTGGCTTAAAATCCCCGGAACTCTATACAAAAATGAACCTGTGTCGCCAGCCATGACGAATTGACTTGTTTTGAGCGCAGAGCGCAAAGAGGTGAAAGCAAAACTGAACGGTGACGCCAACCAACGAATTGCCTTATTTTGGCGCAGAGCTCTGCGGGGGTATCGCGGAAGGCTGTACGAGCAACCTCCATGTG